GCGACCACTTCATCAGTATTAAACAATGAGGTAACTGGCAGTATAAGCAGACACATGGATGCACTCATTTAGGATCAGGGAGCCAGAAGCTTTTAAAAACACATTTGGTTGCACTCTGGTGTACCATGAAGGGTTCTGAGCTGCAAAAATCAATCCAATGAATATGCATTTAGGGAAGTGGTGAATGTGCACACATCACCCACAGTACAGATCTAACAAGATGCATGGATGCTTTGCAGCATAAGATGGATTGTAGAATTTCCACAAGGCACTTTTGTTCCAGCACTGCTGAAATTTCATAACATGATGTTAATTTTCAAGAAGGAACAGCTAGTTACCATGTTAATATTATGCTGATGAGCCAACAAGAGAAGCTGTTACTACAGATCTACTTTATCTCATTTTCAAACATTAATTAGTCAGTTACAAAGCCTCCCCATGCTCAGGCCAGTGGCCTTTTCAATTTTCTGGACTGTAGGAGGAGAGTGAGGAACACAAGCTTCGTACAGTGAGCACCATTGTTGCGCAGGGGACTCCGTGGTGCTCTAGCCAGCTGCTGAGGGTCAGACAGTTCAAGTCCTGGGAAGTTCCTCTGTTTTTGGAAAGGGCTGGAACACAGGGATACAGCCCACACTTGGAATGCAAATGGTGCCAAGTTCAATCCCTGGCATTTCCTAGTAGTGCTGGACAAACTCCTATCTGAACCGTGGGAGAACCAGTCCATCCTGAGCTAGAGGATCCTTGGTCTGACTTTGCATAAGTCAATGCCCCACGTTCCATGGCCAATATGGCAATAGGTTCTCTTCTCCAGTCTTCCTATGCCTGTCCCACATACCCCATCACACAGCACCACACACATGGGCCAGTGCATCTTTCTGCCCTGGGTACATTAATAGGAAGAGGATCTCTACACTTTACTATCAAACAAGCAGCAGTTCTTTGTAGATACAGCATAAAAAGAGTAGTGGCACTTTTGCATTCACTGAAATGTTTCATTGCTCGAGTCATCAAGGAATGCCAGGCTCAATTCCTCTTTGTCCTTCTATTACTTCTGGTTGTGGTGTTGTTTTTGATTCCTGCTGTCAGTTCATGGCACACTATGATGACAGAGCAGCCTCCCCAACCTAGTCCCCTCTGGATGTTTTAGACTACAATTCCCAGCATTCCTTATCATTGCCATGGTGGCTGGGGCTCACAGGAGCTGGTCCAAAATGACTGGAGGACACTAGGGTTAGGGTTAGGGTTAGTCTGATGGCAAAACAGATGATAGGGGGAACAGAAGCTCATTCCATTGGCATAGCTAGGCTGAGTGACACTGGAAGTGCCTTCCAGGCATTCATTTCTGTGTCCAAACACTGATAGCAATCTAGTGTTGACACAGAGATGCTTTGTCACAGAGTACTCACAGCTACTTGAAAGCTTCTTGTCTGAACCATCCTTTCAAGCAGTAAGGAGAATTTGACCATTCTCTTGCTTCTCCATCATTTCTGATCTGAGCAAATGTGTGGTTAATTTCTCACCATCACTGGATAAAAGGATACAGGGAATAAACATGGAGGGTACTTTCACCACACGTTCTACATTTGCACATGGTACATTAGCAAAATGGTAGAGATGAGCAAGGTCATCTCTGCTTAGTGTTGCCATTTGAATGGTCTCCCACTGCGGTAGGAACCAACCGACTGAACAAAAAGTCATCTGCGTGAATCCTACACAGAGAGTCTGGAAGCTGAGCACGAAAGTTGCTTATGGTGGATGGAGGGAAGTGGTGAAGGAAAGTTGTGTCTCCCTTCCCTCCATGGCACTTTATCCTATAAGCCCCTGTTTTGGCCCTCAGTGATCTTGGGCACATCAACTTCATGGCAGCCAGGAGTTGTCCCTGCTGCAGCTGTCCAATGGCTTGTCTAATTGTGTGAACCAGTGAAATATACAACTGTCTTCTGTACCATTAAGGTTTATGCAGAAGAGGGAACTTTCTTGGTATTTGCAGCTTATCACATCCTTTGGCCAGAAGTGCTAAGTTTGCTGAGATGTTACAGAAACTCTGCTCTTTCTTGAGTTCAACCGTGGCTCTCTTCACTCAGGACTAAGTCCGGCATGCCATTTTTTTCTGCAAAGGAAGGACTATGCATATAAAGACATGCAGGAATATATATGTGAAATGTTATAGCAAAGATGAAAAAGGGTGATTCTGCAGGAAGAAAATGTATGCCAGAATAGTCAGAAGCTCACACATACAGTAATTCCTAAAAGTTCCAAATGGAGTTTCCTGCTGAGCCCTAGAATGCTTGTTCCCCAGTGGAGGGGAAATAAATCAGAATCAGTCCTTTAAAAGGCTTTGACATAGCTGTCCTTTACATGTTACAGCCCCATCATTAGTACCACCTTTCATTAGTTCATTCCATGGCATGGCCATAGAATGTATAATCCTGCAACCAATATGGGCTGGTCTGATCATGCTGTCTCCCTACTAGAATTGTTGTCTCCCTTGTTGGCAGGTTTCCATTCCTGTGGGGAAGACCCAAACAATTGGCACTATCCCTGGAGCTATAGGATAAACCCATGGACAGCTGGACCCATCAGCATAGGCAGAAAGATGAGAAAGGGGCACCGTAAGAGCCCTTTGGAGAGTGCAAAACACATCTGTCTGTAAGGAAGGAGTTGCATTTTCCTTTCCCACGGCAGTCTGTTCACTCTGAGGTCCCTGACTGATGGGAGAGAAGGCTGTAAAAGCACCATTGCATGCATGGAATCCTGTACATGGGCCTTTGGATCATGGTCACTGCCATTTTGGGGACACTAAGTTCTGAAAATCTGCGATTCCTCATCATGTTTTCCAGCCCAGCCCGAAGACTTGACACTACAGATACTAATCCTTAGGATGTAGCATACAAATACCAGCGCATGATGAAGTACAGGTTTAAGGCAGTATCCAAGGCATTCAGGCAGAACCAATTTATTTTGTAATATAGTACTTTCCATGATAAAATAAGTGCTATAAAACAAACATGGTTTAAACAACTATGCTAAGTTATTAGTAATCTATTATTACTACTTATTATTAGTAAGCTAAGTTGTTGCTGTTGTTGTTATTTCAACAAAGCTAATATTCTCTTTCCAGTGTCTTCTGGTATATTGTTTTGTTTCATATCCTGTGAAATAACTTTGCAGATATGCATACATTGATGAAATGATCCCCATCCAGCAAATAGATGGAAATAGTGAATGTATTTCCATAAAATTGCATACTTTTCTTGAAAATCCTGCTTCATCCTTTGAACTACAAGCCTTTATATAAGTGTAAGCTATTTGTTTAAAATGACTGGGCTTTTTTGCTTATATGCTGGAGGGACCAACAAAAATAGAGATCAGCTGTGAAATAGCTATTGCCCAAAGCTCAGCAAACAGGCTATGTTTGTGAAGTGTCAGGTCCATGGCTAAAGGGCTAGCAGAAAGCGGCATTGTTAAGAGGAAAAAATACTTTTCAAACACGGTTTCTTACAGAAAGGCATCTTGAAGCTCAAAGAGGGAATTCTTTCATACTGTTCCACATTTGTGCAGGCATCTTGACACTACTTACAGAAGGGAAGCACTATTAAACACAGAGTTCTTATACCGTAGAGACCCCCACAAAGGGGTCCTGTTCACCACATCACTCTGTGCAATGCTGAATTCAACATGGACCTTGTGACTTTGCTCTCTCTAAGTCCAGGCAGGACCAAACCCAAGGGTTCATGGCCAGAATACCTTGTGGACTTTTCAGATCTTACAGCCTAATGAGAAGACACAGACACGTTTCTAGCCATCAGGGATTTTCTGCACTCACACAGCCCCTCTTAGACAATCATGGGCCAGGCTTATGCTATCCTGCAGAGAGATTTAAAAATCAAGGGGTTTTGTTTTTCAGGGCTGTTCTGTTTGGAATCGCTATGAGACAGCTGTCACTGGGCTTGATTACATTTCTTCACAAAACAGACTTCCTGGAAACAATCCTCGCTGTGATACATATTCATTTCTAGTCTTAGGCGATTAGGGTGCTTTCAAAATAGCAGTCGATACATTAAAAATGTGCCGCCACCAGGTTAAAGCGTGCACACACACACACACACACACACACACTTGCACACACAGGGTAGCATCTGAAAGAGCACTTCAAGTTGAAGTTTGGATTCTTCAATGGGAAAGGGGGTGGGAAGGCTACTCTTTGCAATGTATTCTCCCCGCACCCAGTATATCTCTAGTGAAATCACAGCTTGCTGTGTTAAGATGGAGAGAGGAAAGAAATCTGTTCAGAACATCTGGACAGATGCAGCTTAACAAGCTAACACTCCTTTGAGGCTTGATCAGAAAGTGCTGTACAGCCATTAAACGGATTTAATGCTTCTAATAATAATTTCCTTTTGACCCACAATACCACAGAGAGAGAAGAGAGAGTCAATCTTGAAGGAAAAAAATATGAAGTCTTCCTAAACTATACAACATTTTTCCCTAGGAACCTCACCCTTCTTTGGTCACACACTTCTAAGGCATGTCCTCAGCATGGCACATCTGCCAAGTTTGAATAAAGACACAAAAGCCAAATCAAGTATTGATAAAACTGAATTTGGAATTCCTGCAGTACGAAGTGAATTTCTGTCAAGTCTTTCTCCACGTTTGTTCCCACAGCCTTTGAGTGGAGGACTGGAGGCTGCATGAAGCAGCTTTCGGCACTGTGTGCATACTTAGTTTTAATATGACAGAGGTGTGGCAGCTTCTCACTCACACCTGCCTATTGAAACATCGTTGCTGCTGCAAATGACATTTCTTCACTGTAACATGCAATTTCAGGGAGACATTCTGGCAAAGTTTTACCCTTCTAAGTGACTGGAAGTTACTGGATATGCAGTAAGCAGGTGTGGGTGGCACGCTACAAAGTACATGAACAAGAACACAAGTCTGAAACAACACCACCGAAACTAGAAAGAAAAGACGGAGGAGGAAAAGAATAAAGTATTACTTACAGTCCTCTGAGACGAAGCCATATTTTCTCTATTTGTTCTGGTTGCAGGTATTTCAAAGAGTTGCTCTCAAATTCTTCGATTTCTTTGGTTGGAGACTCCATTGCTCTATGTTTTCACTTTGGTTAAAGCTCAGAGAGAATGGATGCGTTCCCCGAAACATGCACACGCTCCAATATTATTATTATTATTATTATTATTATTATTATTATTATTATTATTATTATTGTTACTGGTCAGAAGCAGCAGACATTCCTTTTCCTGCTTCCCTTCCCACTTTGTTCCACACTCGGATTAGAAGGCGTGCGGGCAACCAGCAAGGACTCCAGGTGCACACTGGGGGTACTGGCGGCGGCAAGCCATGCTCCTCAGAGTGAGCGATGGAAGGGATTGCAGGCTGATCTTCAGACTGAATGCACCCAAGATTCTTATTTTTTATACACAATAAGTCAAGGATACAATCAGTAGCACCAGCTGAAGGATCTTTATCTGGGGCTGGGAGGGTGGAGCAGAAAACCCTTGCTGATTATTGGGAGGCCTGGAAGTATTGACAGATGTACAGCTTTCATTTATCTGCCTTGCGATTCGCTGGACACTATGTCTTTGCCTTGTGCTAGGAAAGGCAGCCCTCATTCCTTCCAGGGCTGAATCTTCTCCCTCCCTCCCTCCCTCCCTCTCCCTTTTTGCTACACACACCCACAAATGCCCTCCCCTTCTCGTGTTCTTCCACTTACCAGCCGCTTTGCTGACAGGCAAGAAAACTGACAACTGAGGAAAAGTCAGCTGTCAGCACGAGCCTGGCCAATGTCTCCCTCTCTTTCTCTCTTCATACACAAAAAGCACAGAGAAACTCTAAGAGTAAACCAGGAGAGGGTAATCCGAAAGGGGGAAATTAAAATGGAATGAGCAACCAAGGAAAGCAATTGCTGTAATGCACTCAGGGACAGTCATCCGTTTGAGTGCAATCTGCCCTGCCTTCAGGAGCAAGCAATGCACAGGAGAGAAGCCACTGTGTGAAACTGGTTGAGAATTCTTTTTTTACACTAAAATCAGCTAGTGACCCATTCATTATGAAACGCACCGCTAATTACCGACACATTATACATTACGAGGCTGTATCAACAAAAGAGATTACTATAACAATGGCTGACCAACAGAAAATGTTGCCCGAGGGACTCATGAAATAACCATCCTTAGAAGCATTTAGTAAAGAAAAGTCAGGTGTCTTTCTGGTACCATTCCTCTGTGGGACACCAGTTGGGGAAAGTGGCATGAACCTGGCAGCCCTTTGGTACAGATTAATGGCATTTGCAAATGCATTAATGGCATTTGCAGAGTTCACAGGACTGTTTTTGTAACAAACTAAAAGACACCCCCCCACCACCACACATACACTCACACACACAATCTGCACCGTTATTATTAAAAACTGTTTACATTTTCTTCCTCAGCACCCAGCAGTTGGTTGCTTATGTTTCCGTTGATTGGATTCGTCCATGAAAGCTTGGATAATCATAAATGTGTTAGTCTTCAATATGTCACAGGATTGTAAGTTGTTTTGCACGGCAACAGATGACTATGAGTCTGCCCCTCTGATAAAGTGTCAGGGTTGTTCCAGAGATATTCCAGGGGGACATCAAGACTTTGGTTTCAAACCAGGGCCAAATTTCTTGCTCAATTTTGTATTGAGATTCCCAAGAAATATGCACATTGATCATCAGGTATGAAAGGTGCACGGATTTATTTTCTCACCATGTCTCACTTTAAAATACTCACGAGTAGAAACTGGATTCTTTCTACACATCTAATTTAAAGAGAAGTACCACTAAACTATATTCAAACAGTCTTCATTCTTGATGGGGTGCAAAAATATTTGCATGCTCAAGAAGAAAAAGGTATACGAAATATGAGTAGGCAGTATTAATCCATTACAACAATATAGATATGACAAGTTTCAGTTTACTGGAAAAGTGTGGCTGTACTATGTTGTCTCACAAGGTGTGCTCACATACAAGCATAATTGGCAAGTAGTGTGTGATGAGTTTATGATACAGAAACTTTGTTCTAATATGACTGCTTGAATTCAACAGCTTGCCATCTTAGGTAATGAATATACTTTGGACAGTGAGTCAGCACAAGGTGGAATTTGTTACCCTATAAAAATCCACTACCATGCTACACATTTCAAAATAAAGAACTTGCTATAGAAAAATAAGGAATTTCCCCAGGAATATTTTCTTTGAATGGAGGAATAAAAGGAAAGACAGTGTGTGAGTTAAAAGGGAATAAAGTATGGCAAGAAAGAAAGAGGTTTAAATGGTTATTAAAACAGAGATATGCTAGCTTTCTATGAACTTTCACTAACAGAAACTAATTTGACTATTTGCTATTACCGACCATGGTTTTTCTCAGGTGGTTCCAGCACATTACTGCAGTGATGCGGAGGTAGATTTTAAAGTGCAGAGGCTTTTTGTGAGAGCATCCATAGCCACACCCTGCAGATTCTCAGGTAACATTCAGGCAACTTCCAGACAAAGTAAGCTTCAAAACAGATGACCACCTCACACCTGCCACAGTGCTACTTTCAGCAGATATAGCTTCTGCAAAACACTGGGGCTAGACTGATAGCAGAGATAAGAGCATCCACATATATAACACCCTTTCTGGCTCATGAAGGTTTCTGAGTCTGATTCAAGCTGCTGGTTTTGATTTATAAAGCCTTACATGGCTCCGGACCACAATACCTGATGGAGAGCCCCTTTCAACCTAAACTTACATGGCACCTATGTTCATCCTCTAAGACCATTTTTCAGGTGTCTCCTCCGAAAGAGGCTTGGAAGGTGGCAAAAAAGGGAGAGGGCCTTCTTGGTGGTCCCCCCCCCACACACACACACAGTTCTGGGATGAACCCTAGTGTCAACTTTATTGTCTTTTTATATCAGGTTAAGTTGTTGCTCAAGGCTCAAACATTTGGCAGTCTAAGATAACATTTTTAATTAGTTCACAGGATTTGTTATCATTGGCTGTTAAATTGTTTGGAGGTATCTAAACAATTGCCTATTTATATGTAAAATAGTTTTTATTTTATCACCAAAATGTGTTATTAAGGTTTTAATCAGTGTAAACCAGTAGCAAGCTAATAGAAACCAAAGGTTATGGAACCAACAGTAAGGTGTAAAGAGCTCTGACTATAGAGTGCTATAGAAATGTAATGAATGAAATGAAGTAGCTGGTTTCCAGAAAAGAGGCCTGAGGCACAGCCAAGATTAAAACACAGGACAGAAGTTAAGCAGAAATGCAGTCCAAAAGGTAGAGACAGAAGGGAGAGCCCAGAGGTAAGTACCACGGAGGTTCAAAAGTATGGTCAGAGTTACAGGACACTGAAGGAGCTGAAGAGAAGACCATGTTCCAGCACTGACTATATTGAATCTAAAGGCTTATATTGGCCAGAGCTTCCTGAGCCTTCCCCAGGGCTCAGCTGCACTCCATTGCAGGTCCTCTGGTAAAAGTCTTGCTCAGGAAGAGGCCATTACTCCTTTGATAAGTTCTTTCCTTTCCAAGAGTCCTTCTTTGTGATGGAGCATCTTTTCCCTCAAAGTAGTCCTATTGACCTTCTTCAGGTGACAAGGCTCTTAGGGACATTTCTCCTCAGAGGTGGAATGCCCTCCTCCTGTGGAGATGGTCTCATGATCATCTCCTCTGAGGGCTCATGCTCCCTCAGGTCTCCTGACATGGGTGGCTCATTGGTATTGGCCATTTCTGGAAGCTCCAGCAGAGGCCTGAGATTGCCTTTGTTAGTTAAGCTGCCTATGCACAGTCACTGCTGCACCACATGATCTGGAATGATGCTACCCGAGGCATCATGGATATAAACATAACTGGTGCTAGAGGACTCATCAGCTGAGGACTTTGCCAAGGTGATAGGGCCCAGTTGACCAAGAATGCTACGTGTTTGTATTAGCAGTGTACACCCCAACCATCCAATCCACCCACCCACAGAGAGAGAGAGAGAGAGAAGAGAAGCCTACAAAACCTACAGAGACACTAGTACAGAACCTCGAACCCAGGGGCCACATCTAATTCTCCTGGGGTCCCATCAAACTGTTTGGAATTCCCTACCTGGCCACACACTTCTCCCTGGCTCCTTACTACCAACATTCATTTGTGAATTTCCCAGCTTCTTTGCAAGTTCTTCCCCCTTCTAAAAGATTGAATCATCCCTCCCAATTTGGTAAGTTGGCCCCCTCCTCTTTTGCTTAGCTCCCTCTCCTCATTGGAATGTGCCACATGGCAGCTTCTCCAAAATGGATTCAGCCTTGCTGCTGAAAATGGATCAACACCCCTAATTTGAAGCATATTTACATAACCTATTGTCTAATAGGGGTTTTTTTTGGGGGGGGTCTCTGCAAGAAATACTGGGGGTGCGGGGATTTGATATCTGAAAAAATGTTTCAAACCATAGATTCAAACAATATCTTAATTTGAAAAATGCCATCTTTCCATCTGCATCATTTTGGATATCTCATTAAAAGGGACAGAACCACATTTCTATTTATTAGATAGAAAATTTTTGCATTCGTGCAAAAGAAAGAAATAGCTTTATTAACAAGAAAATCAGTGGCACCTCAGGAGCCATTAAGAAGTTCTGTGTATAAAATGAAATAAATATTTGATATAAAATGAAAGCTTGGCATATAATGTAAATCATGCAATGATAAAGAATGTACCTGGAAAATATCTGAACAGTGTATTTTTCACATTAACAGAAAAGTGGGCTTAGCATCATGAAAGCTTCCAGTTATAAGTGTCTCTAACAGAAAGTACAGATAATAATTCTTTACAAGACTTTTGCAATAGGCGACCACACAACCAATAGGTGGGACTTTTGCAATAGGCGACCACATGACCAAGCACAAGCCGAGCAGCGCCATCAGAACCAGCGCGGACAAAGTACGCATGCATCGGATTTGACACACAAGCAGCCTGCGTGCACCGTTTTAATGATTTTGCCGCCAACCTGCTATGCTCAACAGGGCGATTCGAATCTGCGTGGACCAAACATCAAATTTTCAAAAGTTACTTTTAAAACTTGGAAAATTTGTCAAAAAAAGGTGCTGGAACTCGTTCCGGCGCGTTCTATGACAAAAAAACACTGGGTGGGACACATAAGCCAGTCTTACCCATCTTCCACTGTGCTCCACGGTGCTTACTCTGAGCTAGGTATGAACAGATTTGAAAGATATCTATCTTTTTCTACAAAGAGAAAGATACACTAAAGACATGACCCACAGTTGGCTGGGGAATGCTGGGAGTTATAGAAGTTTCTTTTCTGTCTAAACTTTAATAGCATTGCACCCTGAGTGTTTTGATAGGATGGCCATGTGTCCAAACATACCAAAAAGAGTCCCTATTTGAAGGTGTGCTCTGCAGGTCCATCAGGAAGATGAGTGGCA